TGACATATTTTACAGCCATTGCAATCAATTTCTGCGTGTGTTTGTTGTTATGCCGTTGCACCAAAGGGAAAATTCTGCAATTTCTGCACGGTGCAAGGTTTTGCAAGAGCAAGAGAATCGCCCTCATATGAGAAKATCAAGCGACAGCTGTATTTGTATGTGGATTGTAAACAAATATCAAGTGACAATTTAGGGCCGGCAAAACATGTCTTCCAAAAACATCGATTAAACTAGAGCAGGCACCGATTATAATGAGTGGAATGTAAGTTTTCAATTAGTTTTTAGCGAAAACTGTGTTTTCGTTTGACAGATTTTACATGGACGAAAACACAAGTTTTTTTGCGAAAACCAGTTTTTGCCACATGTTTTCGTTGTCGGTCCGTACATAGTATTAGTCAGGAGTCTCATTTTGGTATTCTGGCAGATACAGTGCCTACTATAATACAGTACACTACTATACTGTATCTGCAGAATATCGATAATAATCTAAGTACGTCCGACATAAAATGATTGCATGAATGACATAAAAACATAACAATTTTACAGCACAATTCTATCTTAAAAAATTTCAATTAACATTTATTGATATTAATAAGTAAACAGCAATTCTATAAACATTAAAGAGTTTATTATACCGCAGTCTTTAATAAGATAATAAAAAGTTTTATTATAGAATTCAAGGTTTATATTATAAGAGTTTAACTTAGTATTAATAATAAACAGAAACTAAACGCAGCCAAAAATAATTCGCTAAAACTAAAAATACTCTCGTTCAGTCTCTTCGGGTCACACAAAGCCTTGACAGCAAACCACAGCTTACTCACACTGGTGGAGAGGTTGCAGGATTTCAGCTTACCTATCCTTATCGACCTCTGTTGTTTACCAATCGTCGAATCTCCAAATTGAAATTCCTTATTCGGGATCCCCGCAATCGACATGGCGTAAGGTGTCGCGCTCGTTTGCTAAACGGCTGCTCAATCCCCCTTTGGCAGGAATGAAAAACAGCATGGTGCACGTTAACGTCGCATAGTACCAAACGGTTTTCACCACGAAGTAGCGCTCCTCTATTCGGGTGATATCCTGTAGGGCAACATGTTACTAGGGGTAATTATTTATTAAATATTTCGAGCTCGACATCGTCTAACAGGATAGCTATACCCTGACATTGTAGGGTAGTATCCCTGCTGTCGATGTTTTCATAGATTTGGCGATATTGCACGGTGTTGTGAAAATAGGCCTCCACATTTCTCGCTCGCGATCTTTACGTAAAACGTTGAAACTGAGTAGTTCTCTCACGAGGATTCGAATAGGTCCTATTCCACTTGATCTCTTCAACTCTGGAGTGTCCTCTCCGATCAACATAATCAATCAGCGAAGCTGCTGCATTATTATTCGCAGTTGCATAGGACCATAAGTCCTTCGCAACACCTTTCTCTCGAAAACTTCTAGAGGCAACTCATTTAACACTTATAAATTTAACTTTTGTATCCAATAACACTTGAGTAATTTGTTTCTACAGCGCCAATTATATATATGCATATGGCAAGGATTTAGAATAGCATTTCCCGATTTCGGGTTAAAATGGGTACAGAGAATGTCCTCCAGACCTAGATATATTTTCATATTTTCTTATATATCCACCAGGACTTGTGTAATTCGGTTCTACACATTTGTTTTGTATTCAAAAATGCAAAAGTAACTTTAATTCCATATCTAACTTTCGTTGAAATTCATTTATTTATATAATGTCATGGTGTTATGAGTTATGTAAATGTTTCAGAATTTTCACTATCTTCATATACAAATCCGGTAGCGAATCATCCAAGGTTATTTTTTTGAAACGAGACCGAAGGCCGCCGACGCTAAAAGGAGTTCCACATGGAAGTACTAAAGAGGGGTTGGTAATTTTTTTTTAAAAAGGGAAAGGAAAGGAAAGGGAAAGGAGTTCAACGCGAAAGAACCGTAAAGAAGGTGTTGGTCCAACCAGAGTTCTTTTTTCGAAGCGCGGACGAAAGCCGCCAATGCAAAAAGAAATTCTATGCGAAAATCTGTGAGGTGTTATTTATTTTCTACCATTAGGGTATTATTTGTCTTCCTTATTTTTTTTGGTCCTTCTATAAAATATGTAGATAAGTTAACACAGAATATATGTATGTTAGAATTCAACCGTTTTGCTATTGTGTGAGCAAAAATAATTGAACAAAATGGAAACATAGAATAAAAGTTATTTTTGCACTATATAATATAAAATAAATGGTTACAAACGAATTTGTGAAGTGTTAGTGGATATAAAAGTTAAAATTCTAAGTATAAAACTCATTTTAAATCGGAGAAACACGCGTTTTAAATAGTTGAATTTTTGAACTTTAAATGCAAATATCTCAAAAACCATAAGTCAGCGGCAACTATATATATTTTTTTTCTTGATCTCCCTTCCACTGAGCTTTAATTGAAATCTGCTGTACGCAAATTAGAAAAAGTGCTTAAATGTGAGAAACAATTCAATACCGAAATTAATATAAAGAATCTGTGTCCAAATTCAAAGAAGCGAAATTCCTTTTGGAAAGCCCATGATAATATTACCCCAAATATGCTAATTGAGTTACCAATTATTGCTGTAGAGGTGTTCTCTTTGCTCTTAAATGCAAATCTTAGCTTCGGATACTATCAAATTTCACGGAAACAGTCGCAGATTATCGGGATAGGTAAACCTGCGAAAGACTTAAACATTTAACACAACCGTCTTAATACTCGATTTACTAAATATAATATTACTGAAATGAAACTGCCGTCCGTATATGTGTAAATGGGATGAGTTGCCTCTTCCAAATTTTCATAGAAATTAAAACTGTTCTGTCAAACTGTTGAAGTGACAGTTCTTGCTAATTGATACTAATTAGTATGCCATATGTTGTCAGAGAATTTTTATCATAGGGAAGGTTCACGTTTCAGATGAGAGAGTTTCACCACAGCCAAATTATAAGCGTGTTTTACCAGGGTTTTGCATCAGGGGACACGAAAATAGCAGAATTGAGTATTTTCAGTGTTAAATGAAAAAAATAATGATAATTCCAATGTTAAGCAATGTACGCTTACAGATTCGCTTATTTGATATGCGCTAACGACTATGCATATAATTTATAGTTGCTCGGAATATATTTGGTATCAAAGCATATATTTAGTATATACATACCTAAGTATGTACGACGTGTGTTCAAAAAGTATCGCGAATTTTGAATTTTCGCTGGTTACGTACATATATTCGAATTTCGAATTTTTTGTGGTGTCATGTTGGTACTCATGTCTCTCACTTATGCCGACAAGCTCGGCCATTTTGAATGTTCATTTAATTGTTGACAGCTGCTTTGCATGTACGTGTTTTGGATCGTCTTCGATTTTTACCAATTCAAAAAAATGGATCAAAAAATCTGTATCAAATTTTGTGTGAAAAACGAAATTAAGTGCGCGGATGCATTTCGAATGTTGACTGTGGCATACGGAGAAGCTTTCTTGGACCGAAGCAACGTTTATCGGTTGTACAAAATGTTCTCAGATACCGAGAAGATGTGATAAAAATTGGCTTTTGCACCACGATAACGCCCCTGCTCACACATCGTTGCTTATGCGCGAGTTTTTGGCCAAAAACAACACACTAATCATGCAGCAGCCACAGTATTCCGCAGATYTAGCC